ATTCATCAAAAATAGGTATGTGTTGAAGTTTTGAGAAAGATGAGATTGCCCATATATAATCTGCTTTGTATTGTTGTTTCTTATAGAAGTCATTTAATTTTTCAAGCCACAGGAGATGAAATAAATACTTATTTGGTTTTTATTTGTATACTTTATTGGATTTTTCTTTCCAATTTGTATAATTTATTAGATTTTTCTTTATTAGATTTATATAATCAATACATACTTCCTGAATTAAGCCAAGCAGCCTTCTAAATATATTTTCTGGTTTCAATTATAAATAATTTACTAGTATTATTTTCTTTTAAATATTTGGATCATGTTCATTTCCATCTCTCTGTAGTATAGATATACCTTAGAGGTATCGTGATTTCAGTTCAGACCACTGCAATAAAGTGAATATTGTGAGAAAGCAAGTCACATGAATGTTGTGGAAGCTATATAGTCTTATAAAGTATATTTCTTAAATAATGAGACTTGAAATTTAAAATCACTCTTTAATCCCTGGGCTGAAGAATGTGTTAGCAGGCATGAAAACAACATTGATGTTTTTGTATATCTCTGTGTTAGATCTCTTGGGTGACAAGGTGCATTGTCAATAAGCAATAATATTTCGAAAGGAATCTTTTTTTCTAAGCACTAAGTCTCAACAGTGGGATTAAAAAATGTATGTTGTAAACAGATGTGCTTCATCCAGGCTTTGTTGCTTCATTTATAAAGCACAGGCAGAGTCAATATTACATACAGCTCTATGGATTCTTGGAAGGGTTAAATGAGCATTGACTTCAACTTAAAGTCACCTGCTGCATTAGACCCTGGCGAAAGAGTCAGCCTAACTTTGAGGCACTGAAGCCCGGCATTGACTTCTCTATAGCTATGGAAGTCCTAGATGGCATTTTATTTCAACATAAGAAATATGTCTTATCTATATTGAAAATATGCTGTGTAGGGTAGCCTCCTTTTTAATTAGCTTAGCCCAGTCCTCTATATAACTTGCTGTAGCTTCTACATTGGCACTTGCTGTTTCACTTTGTACATTTAGGTTATGGAGACAGCTTCTTTCTTTTTCTTTTTCATTCCCCCACCCCTTTATTGATTAAGGTATAACATATGTGTTCTTAGCCCCACATTGCCTCCCACGCCCCACTCATGCCCTCATCCTCCAAATGTCTGAGTCCATTGGTTATGCTTATCTATGCATACATACAAGTCCTTTGGCTGATTTCTTCCCCTTTACCCCACTCTCTCCTGCCCTCCCTCTGAGGTTTGAGGGTCTGACCAATTCTTCTCTGTCTCTGAATCTATTTTTGTTCATCAGTTTATGTTGTTCATTATATTCTACAAATGAGTGAGATCATGTGTTATCTTTCTCCAACTGACTTATTCAGCTTAGCATTATGCTCTCCAGGTCCATATGCTCTTGCTGATGGTAGGAGTTCCTCCCTTTTTATAGCAGCATGGGTGGGGACCGGCTAGTTTGCCCTGAAAGGTTTCCCAGATCAGGGTGGGGGTTCCCTTGAGGGTGTGGGCTGACCTTGGCGAGGGGCCTGTGGTGTTTTGTAGGCAGACCATGCCCCCCAGGAAACCAAGCAAAGGCCCTGATATCTGAGATTTATTTATCTTCTATAATTGAAAATTTGTAGCCTTGAGCAGAGGCTAGGGTAGGCCAGGGCAGGCAGAAAGCTTGTCTTCCTCCATTGTCAGGGAAAGACAAGCCTCCTGCTCACTCCATGGCTACAGCCATTTTGGTTGGGTTAATTTGCATACTCACTCCTCATTGGCTAGTGGGCATGGCTTGTGGGCATAGTGGAAGTATGGGCAATTTCTGTTTCTCTTTTATTAGTGTAGATTATACTTGAAATATTTTCTCTACTAAATTTTAATTTTCTCATTCAATGTTCTTTAGATTGTAAAGACAGGGAGGAAAGGAAAGAGGGAGAGGGAGAGAGGCCTCTCTAATTTTAGGACTGATTGCCTACTATCAAGCACTATTGATATAGACACAGAATGACCAGACAATTTCTGCAATTGTTGGTGAATGGCAGTAGGTCTTTGGGTCCTGCCGTGAAGAACTCTATTACTGCCATCTTCTTCAGATGAGTGTCCTATTTGGCAATGTTCTGCCATGACTGCTACTGAGCTTCCATCTGTCATAGCTCAATGCAACATCTAGGACAGGCACTTCAAAAGGGGAATTGCTCCAGTGCCTAGTGGGCTTAAAAATAAAGAAAAAGGAGTTAACATTGTGGGTGTTTACATTAAATAAAAACAGAGGCTCATTTTCTATGTATGACCTATGAGCCAAGTACTCTACGTATGCTTTCCTTTTAATTAATGCAACATTCCTATAATATAGCCATTAATTGGTTGAGGAAACCAAGCTTGTAAATTAATGAATTTTAAAAGAATTAAAATCCAAATGTATTGTATACAAAAACTTCACTATTTGTCTTGGCCATAATTATTCAGATACTTAGGATTTAATGTAATTTTTAAGATATATAAGAAAACATTTCATTTAAAAATATTGATTCCGAGGGGGGCAGGGAAGGGGACAAATGTAATACTTTAAACAATGAAGAGCCCTAGCTAGTTTCGCTCAGTGGATAGAACATCACTCTTCAGACTGAAGTATCCTGAGTTTGATTCCACTCAAGGACATATGCCCGGGTTACAGCTGGATCAAGGAGGCAGCCAATCAATGATGTCTCTCTCTCATCATTGATGTTTCTATCCCTCTCTCCCTCTCCCTGCCTCTCTGAAATCGAGACATTATATATATATATATATATATATAATTTTATATATATATATATATATATAAAATTTAAAAAATAAAATAATTCATTCTAAGAAATATACCTATTTCACCTTCTGTGTCTACTTTGAAACCACATCTTGAGAATATGTTAGTTCCTAAACCCCTTTAGACTGTTTTACTCAGTGTTTAAATGATCTGATTTCATTTTTTAAAAATTAGATTGCCTCTGTTCCCCCCCCTTTCATTTTTTTTATAATTCTTATCTCATTCAGGAAAGAACATAAAATTACTTCACACATCTTGAAAGCTTTTGGGATAGATCTCTGTTTTATGCTTCTAACTTTTCTCTCTTCATTATAAATCAGCATCCTACTCCTGTATCAATTACACAGACATATACTTGAATTATTAGCAATGACCACATGTCTTTCTCCTTCATGTTATATGTACTTCATGGAGTGCTGATTTTCTTTCATTTAATTCTTCCTCTCCTTTCCACCCCAAAATGTATTTTTTCTACTTACCTGATGGTTTATTACTTATCATTCAGAAACCATGCATAATATTTTCTCAGTTTATCCTCTTTTAATGCTGACAACAATATTGTTTTGTATTTCTTTTTCTTTTTTTTTCTGTGTCTTTTATTATCTCCTTACAAAGGATGCTTGTTTTTTTTAGTATATCCTTACAAAGGATGCTTGTTTCATGTTTCTCTTTCATTAGACTGATATCCTTGAGAGCAAGTACCATGTGTCATAATTATTGTTGCTATCCCATAGCCTCACTATACACAGATTACATAAATGTTTCTCAGTTATAATCATATAAACAAAAATAATAATTCATTTCTAACATTTTAAACACTACTTTGAAAATCTGTGTACTATGCATACTCATAAATTAGGAAACAAGTCTTACTAACAAGTTTTATATTTCTGTTTAAAACAATAACCTTTTTGGAGAAAGAAAACAAAAAGTGAGATTTTGTATTGAAAATGTGTAATATCTCATATGGGTTTTGTTGGAAATATATAACTGTTTTTCTAAAAATTATGAACTGATAGTTAGCATAACATTATGAACTCTTTCATGATACCTACAATTTCCAAAACACTTTTCAAAACTTCAACAACGTTAAACAGAAAACCTGACTTTATGATCGTTTCTAAAAAGTTGTTTTTTTCCTAAAGTGACTGTCTCATTATTGTTACATACATTATTTCATCAGTAAAGTGTTTGCAAATGCAATGCAGAACTGATAAATGACACAATGTGCAGGATTTATTGAACATAAATAGTAAAACATAAAACTTGTGAAAATGGTTTTGTAGGGAAAATTGAGTCCATATTCCACTTTACCCAAAGCTTTATTTAGCAACACTTCCTTTTATTACCATGCAATTCACCAAGCATGAGTAATTTCCACATCAATTCTTTTATCCAGTGGCAACATAAACACTCACACTTTCTGAAATAAAGGGCACGGAGTGTTATAGTTGCTCTGTTTAAGCAGCGATCTTTAAGGTTGTGTCAGCACTTCCATTACATACCCAGTTTCTTGAAGTTTATAACTTGCAGTAAAAACTAACCCTTGGGTTGAATCTTTACTTACAGAGGTATTTTTCAGAGCAACTTATGGAGATATAGCTGCAAGACACCCCATTTCCGTTAATAGAAGCCAGGTCATGAATCCGTTCTTGGCACATTGAACAGATTTATCCTGTAACTCCCCTACTGGGATAAAATTATTTTTTATCAAAGTGAGGAAAATATTTTGGTTTGATTTCAGTGAAGTGATAAAATGCAATACCTAGCCCATGCGGGTATGAATTTTCAATAGCTTTTCTATACTTATGGCACAATGCCCCCTCCTCCAAAGTGACCTTGGTAAAGTATAAGCTAGTCAGTTCTATTCAGGTATAATTTAAAATAAGCTTATATTTTCTTTCTCTCAAATATATTGAATTGTGTCTTTCTTGAGCATGTCACTTAAAGCTAGAAAAAGAAAAGTTTAAATGTTTCACAAAATAAAGTAAAATTAGTAATGAATTATGAGCGTATCACAGTTTTACCTACAGTATACACTTGAATTCAATTTGTTATTGGCAGATAATTACCTTAATAAATAAATATAATAGATAGTATAAAATCCTGATATTTTAGAAAAACTTTGAAAGATATATAACAAAACAGATTCCAGCGCCTCCACTCCGTCCCTAGCGGGTCTCCTCTGTGTGCAATGGACGGCATTGTCCCAGACATAGCAGTTGGTACAAAGCGGGGATCGGACGGGCTCTTCTCTACCTGTGTCACTAACGGACCCTTTATCATGAGCAGCAACTCAGCCTCTGCAGCAAACGGAAATGACAGCAAAAAGTTCAAAGGTGACAACAGAAGTACAGGCGTGCCCTCCAGAGTGATCCATATCCGGAAGCTTCCCAGTGATGTCACCGAGGGCGAGGTCATTTCCCTGGGACTGCCTTTTGGGAAGGTCACCAACCTCTTGATGCTGAAGGGGAAAAACCAGGCCTTCATTGAGATGAACACAGAGGAGGCAGCCAACACTATGGTGAACTACTACACCTCGGTGACACCTGTGCTCCGTGGCCAGCCCATCTACATCCAGTTCTCCAACCATAAGGAACTTAAGACTGACAGCTCACCCAACCAGGCACGGGCCCAGGCTGCCTTGCAGGCAGTGAACTCAGTTCAGTCTGGGAACCTGTCGCTGGCTGCCTCAGCTGCTGCTGTGGATGCTGGGATGGCGATGGCTGGCCAGAGTCCAGTGCTCAGGATCATTGTGGAAAACCTCTTCTACCCAGTCACCTTGGACGTGCTTCACCAGATCTTCTCCAAGTTTGGCACAGTTCTGAAGATTATCACTTTCACCAAGAACAATCAGTTCCAGGCACTGCTGCAGTCTGCCGAACCTGGGAGCGCTCAGCATGCTAAGCTGTCCCTGGATGGGCAGAACATCTACAGTGCTTGCTGTACACTCCGCATCGACTTCTCTAAGCTCACCAGCCTCAATGTGAAGTACAACAATGACAAGAGCCGAGACTACACCCGTCCTGACCTGCCCTCTGGTGACAGCCAACCCTCTCTGGACCAGACCATGGCTGCAGCCTTTGGTGCACCTGGTATAATGTCAGCCTCTCCGTATGCAGGAGCTGGTTTCCCTCCCACCTTTGCCATTCCTCAAGCTGCAGGCCTCTCTGTTCCCAATATGCATGGGGCCCTCGCCCCTCTGGCCATCCCATCAGCGGCAGCAGCAGCGGCGGCAGCTGGCCGGATCGCCATCCCAGGCCTGGGGGGGCTGGAAATTCTGTTCTGCTGGTCAGCAACCTCAACCCTGAGAGAGTCACACCCCAAAGCCTCTTTATTCTTTTTGGCGTGTATGGCGATGTGCAACGGGTGAAGATTTTCTTCGATAAGAAGGAGAATGCCTTGGTACAGATGGCAGATGGGAGCCAGGCCCAGCTGGCCATAAGCCACCTTAACGGACATAAGCTGCTTGGAAAGCCTGTGCGCATTACCCTCTCCAAACACCAAAATGTACAGCTGCCCCGAGAGGGCCAGGAGGACCAGGGCCTCACCAAAGACTACAGGAACTCACCCCTCCACCGCTTCAAGAAGCCTTTCTCCAAGAACTTCCAGAACATCTTCCCACCCTCAGCCACCCTGCACCTTTCCAACATCCCGCCCTCCATAACTGAGGACGACCTCAAGATGCTCTTCTCCAGCAACGGTGGAATTGTCAAAGGGTTCAAGTTCTTCCAGAAGGATCGCAAGATGGCGCTGATCCAGATGGGCTCAGTGGAGGAGGCCATCCAGGCACTCATCGACCTGCACAACCACGACCTGGGAGAGAACCACCACCTGCGGGTGTCCTTCCTCAAGTCCACTATCTAGGCTCCCCACCAAGGACCAGCCTGCCGGGTAGTCCCGGCAACAACTTCCGTCATTCCAGAAAATAGCCACTTTAAAAAGCAGCTGAAGTGACCTTAAAAAGACCAGAGATTTTATTTTTTTAAAGAGAAAATCAGTTTACCTGTTTTTAAAAAAAATAAATCTAATTCACCTTGCTCACCTTTGGGAGATAGGGTGCCAGCCTCAGGCTCTTGGTGACCAGCGGACAATATGCCTACCCCTTCTGCAGCCTGCAGGGAGGATGTTCCCAAGCCTCCATTCAGCTTTCTTGTGCCTCAAAACCCACTGCTTTGGCAGGGCCTTTTTTTGCAGTAACAAATACATAGGGGTTTGGGGACAGGGGACTGCTTCCCCACAAGGATCATGTGCCTGGCATGACAGGAGGCTGCCAGCTGCAAGGTCTGCAGGCATCCTAATCCTCCATTTAATCAAGAATCTTGATTCTCTCCTTTCCCTGCCCCTGGCTTGAGGTGCCCCTCCTGGGCCAAGACCCTCTAGGGTGCATCCCTGGCACTTCTTCAGCTTGGAGCGTTGTTTTATAATAAATCTTTGTATTCTGCTTTTATGCAGTTGCAGACTTCTGTGCCTAGCAATATTCCAGTTGACCAAATATTCTAATCTTCATTTATATGCAAAAGAAATAGTTTTAAGTAACCTTTTATATAGCAAGATGATAAAAATGGTATGTGTAATCTAAATTTCTTCCTTATATGACCTGTATACTGTACTTTTTATTTTATTCCTTGTAAGTAAGTTGCAGGGCAGGATCTAGTTTCAGGGCAGACGCAGTGGGGCCAGCCACTGCGGAGCCTGGGTTCTTCCTAGAAAGCCCCAGGCCTGCGACCTTCAGATGCCTTACACATAGCCTGTCCTCTGTCTGGGAGGACAAGGGCTCTCTTAAACTTTCAGGGTTTCTTTTTTCCTGCAAATCATGGACCAAAGTTTTGTGGTTTTTTTTCTGCCTCTGAGACCCATTAAGGTGGGACAATAGCCCTCAAGTCTTACTGTCTCCTCTACCTTGTATAGTCCTACATTCATGGGTCCAAGGGGCTTCCCTGTGCACAAACCTTGTGCTGGCTGGCTCCTCTTCCTGGGCCTGGACCCCAAGTGTTCATGTTGGGGTGAGGACAAGGGATTAAATATTTATAATTTTTTATACCTGTTGTAAGACACGAGGGGCAGCAAATACAGTTTTTTATGGTGACACAGATGTATATTTTGATACCAGCAATTACAGGCTCAATATTGTGATGTGGAGTGTGGCACATTCTGTTGCCTGCCTTACAGCTTGTAATGTTGAGAAAACTGAATTAAAGCGATTTTATAACAACTTTTGCCTTTTCTGCAGGCTTTCTATTCACATTGTAGAAGGCAGTTTGGCTAGACTGTACTGGACTTTGAATAAACTCTTCTGTATCCTGCAAAAAAAAAAAAAGAAAGAAAGATATATAACAAAACAAATTATTAAAAATATTAAATATTTTTGTTATAATTTATATAAGCAAAATTTACTAAGTTAAAATTTCTAAAATAGAATTGAGTTTTCTTATATTTTTAACATACTTGGGTGTCTTTATTCAGTTAATAAACCTTACAAATGAAATGAGATTCAAAAAGCACATGTTCAAAAAATAAAAGGGAGGTGGTAAAATCAATTAAATCAATAATCCTCGAGTTAAAGATAGGCTATAGAAATAAATGGTAATGGGCCAAATCTCCATCAATTGTAACATCTACCATAAACATCCATAAAACATAGTACCACTGTCAAATAATTCATAATAAAATAATAGCACAGCAAATAAAAAAGCAGAATATGAATGAAATTGAAGCCTATGTTCAAATATGTTTGACAAAAATACATAATATGTTCATTTCCAATATTTTGTATTCAATTAATCTTCCTAAAGAAATTAAATGGTCTCTATCTAGTTATATTTTTAGTTGACTCTATCAAAAGTCTCCAATATGACCCTTTTATAATTTAAGCATTACAAATGCAAGGTATATTTGGGAGTTTTGCTTTGGAGACTGTTACCATTTTGTTACAGTGTACAAACACATACATGTATTTTAGTTGTGTGTGTTGTCAACATTCACTGATACCAATATACAACTCTGAAGAAAGCTGAAAGACCAAACCCATGTTTTCTTTTTAAAAAGCTGTAATACCAAGTAATGTTGACTTTAAGAGTAATAAAGTGATTTGAGCATAACCAAATTTATTAACCTACCACTTGATATCACCATCTCTGTCCCCTACATCTTTGTCTCTATTATGTACTCTCGATTTGATTTTTGTATCATTGGAAGAATTCTCAATCTTCCTCTTCCTGCTTGCACTTTTTTTTTTTTTCTTTTCACACTAGGTCACTTAAAGGAATCCTATAAGTAACCTGTCTTTCTTAACCAAGTTTGGAGTCAAAAATTAACAAATTTGTAGGCAAGTGAATTAAAAATACTGAAACTCAGATTTAGAAAATGAATTTACACTGGTAGTTCTGAAAACCATAAGCCTAAGTACATGGCATAGACAAGTACAATCAAGAACACCTGCTTTTTTTTTTTTTTTTTTTTATTCTTTTTTTAGGATTGTCAGCTCCCAAGAAAAAAGGGGAGAGGAAAAGTAAAGGGCATAGCAAGCATTTCCTTTTCACCTGAATGCCCTATATTGGGTCAGAGTATGTGAGCAAGCAGCCAGTGACCAGGAGGAGGAGTATACCACTACTTCTCTTCATTGAAGAAAACATCCTATATAATGAAGAGGCAATGTGCAAATTAACCGTCACGCCCTCACAAGATGGCTTCCTATGATCAGGCCAGCAGGGGGGTTAGCGAGGGACAACCAAAGGACTGAACAGCAGGCTGTGTGGAGTGACTAGTTTAGTGGGGGAGGGGGAGCATGAGGGGTGACCAGGCCAGCAGGGGAGGAAGCTGGGGGGGTGACCAGGCTGGCAGGTGACCAGGCCAGCAGAGGGGGGCAGTGAGAGGCAATCAGGTTGGAGGGGGTTGGGGGGCAGTGAGGGGTGACTAGGCCAGCAGGAGGGGCAGTGTGGCAGGTGGGGTGTAGTTGGGGGCAACCAGGCTGGCAGGGGGGTTAGTGAGGGACAACCAAATGACTGAATAGTAGGCTGCATGGGGTGACCAGGCTGGCAGGGGGATTGTGAGGGGTGACCATACCAGTCGGGGGGAGGGGCCAGTTGGGGATGACCAGGCCAGCAGGGGGTGCAGTAATGGGCAATCAGGCCAGCATGCAGAGGCAGTAAGGGGTGATCAGGCTGGCAGGGGAGCAGTTAGGTTTGACCAGGCCAGCAGAGGGGGGCAGTCAGGGGTGACCAGGCTGGCAGGCAGGTGTGTGATTAGGAGCCAGCAGTCCAGAATTGTGAGAGGTATGTCCAACTTCCTGTTTAGGCTTGATCCCCGAGATCGGGCCTAAACAGGAAGTTGGATATCCCCAGTGGGGTCCTGGATTGGAGAGGTGCAGGCTGCGCTGAGGGGAGCCCCATGCATGAATTTCATGCACTGAACCTCTAGTTAGAATATAACAAAATAAACTGCTAATAGCCATGGCCTATGAATGAAATTCCTCCAGTGCTTCAACTGTCTGGTTTCTTTTTCCCATAATCACAATGACACAAAACTTTTCATTTATGTCTCTACTTGTTCTGTCTATAAAATGAAATAGCTGCACATAACGCTGGCTGACAATCCTAGATAATTCACTGCTTCCTAGTTAATTCACTCTCCTACTTTCCAAGGTAATAGTTTCTCCTTTCTCCCAAACTTCAGCTCACCTCCCACTCTAAGATGATTAACTCAAATTTCCCGCCCAGAGCATATACATCATCGGAGGCAAATATCTCTCCACCACTGCATCGTAGTGAGTTCTGTCTTGCCAGTTACAATGATGTATTCATTATCTTCATTTTATTTAACTCCTTCCAAGCATTTGATGTGGTTTATTGTCTCTATCTCCTTTATTTTTAGTTTTTTATTTTTATTTTTTATCTTTACCTATGAACAGCATAGGTATTTTATTTATTTATTTATTTATTTATTTATTTATTTATTTATTTATTTATTTTTATTGATTATGGTGTCACATAATTGTCCGCATTCCCTCCATTGTTACCCCAAACCCCTCCTCACATATGCCCTCACCTCCCTGTTGTCCGTGATCACTGGTTAGGCTTATATGCATGCATACAAGTCTTTTAGTTGATCTCTCCTCCTTTCCCCCACCCTCCTTTACCTTCCCTCTGAGGTTTGACAGTCTGATCCATGCTTCCCTGTCTCCAGGTCTGTTTTTGTTTATCAGTTTATGTTGTGCATTATTTCCCCTAGAAGCATGAGATCATGTGATATAAGAAACACACTTATAAGAACCGAAAATGGGACCAGCCATAATGGTTATGCTGAGAGGCAAATGAACCAGTCTGTAGTGAGTTCCTTTCTGGGCCAACAGTTCTTTTGAGTCCCAATTTCAAGGTCAAACAGTTCCTTGTGTGTAGATCTCTATCTCCTTTAAATACATTCTTCATGTCACTTCAGGTATACTACTTTGGGTTTCCTCCACCTCACCGGTTTCTCCTCAAGTTTTATCACTAGCTTTCCTTCCCTTGCTTACCTACAAATGTTCTCATATTAAACACTGATCTTAAATTCCTGTCAGTGTTCTTAACATTTTAGGTAATCTTATCCTCTCTCCGATTTTTAAATATCTCCTATTTACTGAAATATCACACTTTAATTGTTTAACTCCTTCTCCCAGCGTGCCAGAATATAATTTGCAAATGTCTATTCCATTTCTATTTGGATTGATGTCTAAATGGCACATCAAATATAATATGTAATAAAACCAAATTATCCATTCTTAAATTCAACGGAACACCATTTTTTAATTTAAATTTTTCATTGCTAACATTATTACAGATCTTCCTTATTTTCCCACCCCTTTGCCTTTCTCCACCTAGACCCCACCT